TGCTGCTGATCCTCTTATTGTTGTTTCGTTGACGCGCTTCATGTCTTTGTCGTCTTGTCCCTTTCGCCTTCTTCTTCTTCTTCTTCTTCTTCTTCTTCTTCTTCTTCTTCTGCTGCTGCTGCTGCTGCTGCTGCTGCTGCTGCTATGGCTTCTACTGCTGCTGATCCTCTTATTGTTGTTTCGTTGACGCGCTTCATGTCTTTGTGGTCTTGTCCCTTTCGCCTTCTTCTTCTTCTTCTTCTTCTTCTTCTTCTTCTGCTGCTGCTGCTGCTTCTGCTGCCACTATGGCTTCTACTGCTGCTGATCCTCTTATTGTTGTTTCGTTGATGTGGTTCATCTCTGTGTTGTCTTGTCCCTTTCTTCTTCTCCTTCTTCTTTGCCTTCTTCTTCTCCTTCTCCTTCTTCTTTTCCTTCTACTTCTTCTTCTTCTTCTTCTGCTGCTGCTGTAGCTGCTACTGCTGCTGATCCTCTTATTGTTGTTGTTTCCTTGACATGGCTTGTCTGTTTACAGTTTCTAAACTCGTCGGCACGGGATATCCAAACTGCAGTTGAGGGTTTGAAGAGGATGGCGTTGAAACTTCCTTTTGTCAGTTTGCAGAGAAGGTTGAGGCTTGAGGAGAAGGCAGTGAAGGAAGCTATGAAAAAAAAGTTAGCAGAAAAGGACGGGACAACGTTCACGTCATCAGAGATGGGTGTGCCAGTTGATGATATGGGAAGCAGCGATGTATCGGGCTCAGAGGCTGGGGATGACACTGAAACGGCTCGTAATGCGTCTGCAAGTGATGATGGCGACTGGGAGGTTGAGGATCGAGATGGTGTTCGTGTTCACGGAAATGTGGAGAGCGAAAGCGATCGCCATGTGGACGTTGAAGGTAATGCCGACATGCGACGAGGCGATGATGGTCGTCCCCACTACCAGGAAGCTGAGGGAATGGATCATGGTGCTGGTGATGGAGCCATAGATGACGGTTACGATGCAGACAGCAGTGGCGAGGACGGTGACGATTTGTTGATGCGGGGAGGCGATGAGGTATCGCAGCAGCGCGGTGATATTCACGACCCAGAACCTGACCCTTATGATTCAAACGAGTTCGATTCGGATGCGGATGCAATTGCAATCGGAAGCGATAGGGATATGGATGGAATTGATATCGGAAGCGACGACGCTGATCTTGCCGACAACCTCTGGAGTGCTCCTGGTAATCGGTCTGCAGGCGGAGGAAAACCCTACAGGAGAAGAGTGATTCGCAGCTCTGACAGCGAAAACGCAGCAGGTAATAGTGCTGCTGACGAGATGTCCGGCACGAGGCTTGATGAGGTGCAGAAGACGGCGGTCGGTGGCGAGGAATCGTCGGAGACCACAGGATCTGTCTCAGAATCGCCGGCGCCATCTTCCGGGGCGATGATGGAACCGCGAAAAGACACTGGAAAAGATGGCTTCGATGCATCTAACGAAGAACAAGGAGAAGATACGGCAGAACTGGAACAAGAAAGCGTCAACAAAAAAGACGATGCTGAAGTCGGAGATGGAGATGGTGAAGACAATGAGCGGGATAAGGATTCCGAAGAAGATTTGCGATTGGCGGAAGAGTTGTATGCAGTGGCTCGCGCAATGTTTACGCTGGGGGTTTTGTCTTCCACGGGGCTTGCTTCGGAATATCATCTCCACAATACAACTAAGGTGAAGCTGTAACTTGTATTTTTTTTCTTTGTTGTATTTACATCTTAAAAAATAAAATTATTTAATTTTAGGGAAATTTTGCAAAGTACCCCTGAATGTTCATGTATATGTTAAAATAGTACGAATACCCCTAAATGATGTGGATAGAGCGCAATACC